GAATAAAGAAGCATGTCACTCTCCCTCTCTGCCCACAGATGGCAACCACACAGAGATTTATTACCACCAGATGGCTGCAATGTGGGGATGAGACAAGAGGGTACCTGGAACATGGGAGACCAGCACAGCAATCCAGAGTTATTTCCCACCTACACAGCTACAAAAGAATCAAATTCCAATTGAGAAATGATTATGCTTTTCCCCAGAGTTTCTGATGAAAAAAGCAAATGAAGTTCATAGAGTTGGCCGGAAGCCATCCCAGACCGTAATGTTTTCTTTTTCATTGTAATAGATCATGTCTCTCTCTCTCTATTGGCATCAATCTCTTTTCTCCTTTTGTGCATCTCTCTATCTTGTGGTCTCCTTCAGCCATTTTCATTCCTCTTGTTCCATCACCTTGTCACCCTACCTGTCTCTTCTTTAAGTAAAATAAATTCTTGGAAGACAGCTTCATCCTTGGAGGGAGAGATTCAGTCAATTTTTTGAACTTGACACAGAAAAATATTTCCACAGAAAAATATTTCCAATACCAACTTTCGCATCGAGAAGTTACTTGTAACCTAAAACCTTCTGAAGCCCTAGTAATTCCTCTTATTTGTTTTGTTGGTGATTGAAGGGTGTGTGCTGGGTGTGTGATGACAAAATTACTCTTACTCAGATCAATGGGCCTCAGGAGATTTGTGGTGTTTTCCCTCCACACAAGGAACCATGATTAACCATACCTTTATCTTTGTCTTTAACAAAGTCCTACTTCATTTCCAATTACTAAAAGCCAAAATGAGAGTGGGTCAGTCAGTTAAGGCTCTGCCTTCAGCTCAGGTCATGATCCCAGGGTCTTGGGATGGAGTCCCACATCAGGCTCCCCGCTCAGCATCTGCTTCTCCCTCTCCCTCTGCCCCTTTCCCCAGCTCATGCTCTCTCTCTCTCTCTCTCTCTCTCATGCTTTCTCTCTCTCTCTCAAATAAATAAATAAAATCTTAAAAAAATAAATAAAAGCCAAAATGATGTGTCTTACATGTCTCTCTCCTTTTTTTACTAAATATACTGCTTTTAAGTTTTGAGAGTCATATCTAATCTGAGATTCTTGGATTTGGCATTCTACCCAGTATGGCTTTTTCTAATCATTGTTTGAAAAATAGCCATTTTTAATGGGGGCCTACTGATATCTCAAAAAGAAAGAAAATGACCTCATTTCTTTGTTAAAAACTTTATCACCAAAAGTCACAATTACTCTTGGGAAGAGCCTGCAGTGGGTAGCCATTCTGCTATACCTTAAAAGGCATCCCCTCCTGCTGTCTGACAGGGGCGTTCTGGGAGCGTGCTGTGGGACGGCACCATTAGCAATTCCAGTTAATACTCCGTCCTCCTGGGTGACACACAGGGCCCTCTGGGAGGGAGCTGAGTGTGTAATGTAATGGGAGTAAGACGAACATGGGTGTGAATCCCAGCTCTGCAGTTTACTTACCCACTCAGGGTCTCAGCTATCTCATTTTATAAAATGTAGATAAACGCTACCATTAAAGTTAGTAAGAGGGAGGTGATATCCATGCTAATGTACCTAATTGTGCCAGAGACAGCATTAGATACTGGTGAGAACATTCAATCCACACAGCAATTCTTCAAGTTGCGTCCAAGTTGGCACCTTTTATTTCACATATGAGGAAACCAAGTCTCAAACAGCTAATGAAGTTTCCCAAGTTCCAAAAGAAGTAGATAGTCAACCCAAGTCAAAATCAAATGGTCCATCCCAAAGTTATGTCTTTTCCCCAAATCACACTGTTTTCCAAAAAAGAATAGATGGGTATATTTGCAAACAGGCTGAATGGTAATGAGGTGGGAAGTCTTTTGCCAGAGCTCTCTAAATTACACCATATATCCCCTTCAAGGACATGACAGTGATGGCAGGAGAAGAGTGTGAAAGACGAGCAGAGGAGGGCACAGTGTCGATGACAGGGAGAAACTCTCAAACAGTGAGGGAGAGACAGGCAGCAGATGAATTTGGTGGACAAGTCTGCCTTCACTTGCATCCATGAAGTGCATCACCCAAGTGCATCTTGGTCTGGTGTTATATAATGTTGTTGAAGCTTGAGGGTACCAATATACCACATTATTCCCTCCTAAGGATTCTGGTCCAGTTGGAATGTAGACACAGGCACTAGACAGGAATTAAAATACAGTGTCTGCTTTATTACTGGTAGAGCTTAATTGTAGAATGATGCTTGAACTCAAGGCCAAAATAGGCCACTGAAATGATCTACCTCTTTCCTCCCCCCATATTTCTCAGGAGATTCTACTTCCAGAGGAAACTAAGATGCTGGCCAAATAAAAGAATCACTTTCAACACTTCAACTTGGACCCAGTTTTTCCTTAAGAGGAAAGAGATATTGGTATAATTATGTATTGGCTAAGCTAGCTCCAGAGGAAAGGGGAGACAATCCTCCTTCCAAATATATTAACAGAGTATTATAAAACATTACAGCCCTTTTTATTAAGACAAAACAAAATAACACTCTTTACTTTGGGTTCACTATGAAGAAAAGGACTTGCCTAGGAATCTGACTTCCATATGTAAAATTATTTCCATGGGAAAATACATTTTACCTACCAAATAAACCAACCCCGAAAGGTTGGGAACTCAATCCATTTATCAGTATAAATACAGCACTGCATTCTCACATTACCCACTATTTCTAAGGGAAGGTCAGCTCCAAAGCTCTCACTATTAATTGGTACCAAAAAAAAAAAAAATGCTAAACTCTAGGGACATCATGATGATGAGGAAAAATCCAAATTCCATTGACTCTTCTCCCCTTCATCACCTTCTCTGTACACAATACCCTCTGCTTATGTTTGTGTTCCTTCCAAAGACCTAATTATATAGAAATAAAAATATCTTTAAAGATAAAAATGCTTGTTGATGTTATGTGAATTCATTCTGCTGGTGCTTTGGGAAGCTAAGGGTTTGCGGGGCCCAGGGAAAGAGAATTTGCCAAGTAATTCCCCTAAAGAGCTAATTTGCTATACTCTATTTTTAGAGATTAGTATCCTCACTTTGGCTCACTTATTTCTGCCTCAACTGTGCACACAACAAACTAGTCTGAGATTGCAGCTTGATTGTCATTGTGGAACAACACTTCATTCAACAAATATTCCCTGAGAATTTAGTGTTTAGAGAATCACCCTAGTAAGTAGCAATATAGAGAGTTTCAGGTTGGTACTTTCAATATCAATATAGATGATCCATCCAACACCTTAGCCTCTCAATTCTTTGACTTTCTCTCCTACAACAATTGTGTCCTCCATCCCATCCCACAAACCCATCCCATGTCATATCTCAGATGACCACACTCCACTCTAAAAGATCAACTGGAAGAATCCCACACTTACTACCAACTCCATCTCCAGCTCTCTTCTGCTGTGTTCACATTCTAACAGTCCTTCATTCCCAACCAGATTAAAATTCACTCAATTTACTGTCCCTCATCCCTCACCCTTTTGTTTTTATTCATGTAAAAATCCACAGCCCGTCATTGTAATCAGTCCTCTACATAGACTGGCAACTTTTCTCCCCCAACTCTTGCTTGGGGAAAAAAAAAGCAAACAAACAAAGAAAAACATGCCTAAAATTAATTCTCCTCTTCTCACAACTTTCCATTGTCACCCTAGTCCAAGCTGCCATGATTCCTTTTTCAGATTATTATTACAAGTCTTTGAACTAGTCAGCTACCCTTCCTTCTTCTGTCCTTGCCGCCTTACACTCTGTTTCCCATATAAGAACCAGAATGACCTTCTAAAATTATAAATCAAATTATTCCTCTCCTCTTTTCAAAACTCTCCAATAGATTTTTGCATCACTCAGAATAAATTAGGAGTCATTACCCAGTCCTGAAAGACCCTTCGTGTCCAAGGCTGGTTCCCTCCCTCTCTGACCTCATCTCCTACCAGGGTCCCCTCTCTTTCTCTGCTCCTGCCACTCGTGGCTGTTCCTGATCCAACCCAGCACATGTCTACCTCCAGGAATTTGTCTTGACTGCTCTCCATGCCTGGGAATCGATTCCTCCTGACATCCTCTTAGTTGCCTCCTGCATTTCACAAAGGGCTATACTCCCATGTTAGTATAGTAGAGAGGATTCCCCTAAGTAACCTGTCCAAAATAGCTTAGCACTATACTCTGTGTCCTTTTCCTTGGTTTTATTTTTCTTCTTAATACCTATCCCCATCTGACATAGTAGATAATGTCTGGAGCCCACCCCACCCTCAAGTAGAATATAAGTCCCATAAGACTAGGAACTCCATATTTTTTTTCTTTTTAAGTAGGCTCCATGCTGGGCATGGAGCCCAACGAGGGGCTTGAACTCACGACCCCGAGATCAAGACCTGAGGTGAGATCAGGAGTCGGAGGCTTAACCAACTGAGCCACCCAGGTGCCCCATCTTTTTGTTTATTACTATATCCCCAATGTTTAGAACAACGTCCCTAGAGGCTTCCAAAAATATCGGCTGAGTGAGTGAATGAATGAATAGATGAGTAAACTCTTAAGCTATGGGACTATAGAAGCTTTTGCAGAAAGACCTTTCACACAGCCAGGCCACGACACAGGTGGAATAAAAATCAGAATCAGCTTCCACCCTGCTATGCTAGGGCGATTCTCTATGCCCTTAAACAGAATTTTGTGAGAAATGCTGAGTTAAGGATCATCCCGAACTGATTCGGTTCACAAAAAGACTGTTAAGATTATTAAATCAAGTCAGATAACAAATACCAACTGTGACTTGAGTATCACACCCCCAAAAAGATTAACCTTGCTTGGTGATGAGCAAAGATCAAAAGGATCAGGGATGCTTTTGATTGTTCCCTTTTTGCATGAAGATAATGCCCAGCCATGAACTGTTCCTAGCAGGTCTGTCCCACCAGGAAACACATATCTCATCCATCACTCTGGCACTGTCCTCTTTTCTTTCCCTCGGGTCACTAGGAATCATCCTCTGCACATGACTGATATGGCCGTCATTCAGACAATTGGCACTCCAGAACCACATATTTTCTGTACAGGTGTAGACCTAAACATCTTACAGGCATTGAAACGCATGGACTTGGAAATTACCAATGCCTTTTTGACCCACTATGTGGGAACGAGTGCACAGGCCAACACCTAGGCTTATCCCCCATCTCCCTAAACTAAAAAGCATCAAATGGACAGCTGTGGTTCTCTGCTATCAGGGGATTGAACATCTTTTGTGTGCAGTCCCTGGATCCATCCATACTCCCTAGCTTCAGGTTGGTACTCAAGTAGCATACTCAAGTTAACTCCATTACTCTATTCAGAAGACACATTTCTCCTCGAAGTAGCTGCTACATGAGAGGCACCTAGCTGACTCAGTCAGTAGAGCTTGCGACTCTTGATCTCACAGTTGTGAATTCAAGCACCATGTTGGGTGTAGAGATTACTTAAAAGATAAGTAGCTGCTACATGAACCACAGATAAGACCACAAGTTTCAGAGTCAGACAGAGATGGGTCTGAATCCCATCTCAGATCCTTATTGACTCTAAGACCATAATTAGTTACTTCACCTCTCTGTCCATTTTTTTTTATCAGTAAGGGAGAAATAATAATAATATTGATTTCATAGGCTTGCTCGAAGATTTACTCAGCATGGACACAGAAAGCCTTAGCACAGTGCCCAGACATATACGGAGGATTCAATAAATAGATTATTTTTTTTTAATTTTTACTTTTCAGGGCTCTTCTCCTTCTGTGGTAGGTTTTTTCCACAAACAGCAACAATGATCTTTCATCCCACATGCCCATTTGCAACATGACTTTTCCACTCCTCCTGTAAAGCAAGAGTCTGTTTCCTACCCACCCACTCCTTGAATATTTTAGGCTGGCCCCATGCCTTGCTCTGATGGAAAGAACACAGCAGAAGTGGTGGGGTGTGACGGCAGAGCCTAGAGTTTGAAAGCCTTGGCGCTTCTCTTTCACCCTCTTGGAGGCCAGCTGCCATGCACAAGCAAGCTTGGGCTAAACCCAATGGTAGGATAGCACATAGAGAGAAAAGCCACGTGGTGGAAAGCAGGTGCCCAGCGACAGCCGGCACCAAGGCCCCAGATGGGTTCCCGAGGTGGTTTGGAGCACAATCGATGATTAGTCCCCGATCTCTCTAGTGAAATCAGATCTGAGCATTCACATACTAAAATACTGTACATATTACTTTATCTTAAATTACTTTCCTTTTACTTCTTCCTTTGTTATATTGAGGCATTATGTTGATTTGTTTTGAAATCATACTGTGGTTGGGTTTTATTATCTTTCTGGTAAAGTGAAGAACAGGTTATGAACTATTAGGTACTAAAAGGAGGCATAAGGTAGTAAATCACTGCCTTTGGGCCATCTTGCCTAGATCCAGGAGCCCCCTGATGGATATTTGGTTACCCATATGTTATCTATGTAAAAACTAGTTATGATTTCTCACAAACTCACTGATTCATTTCTTCTCTCGTAGATCTTTCTGTCTAGGCCAGGGTTTTTCAACATTATTTAATCCAAGACCTTTTGATTACCATGAAAATAATCTCTGTCTCTCTCTGTCTCTCTGTCTCTCTCTCTCACATGCACACACACACACACACACACACACACCAGATTTTACTGTGAGAACAACTTCTGCCTCCAGCAGAAACGCACCCTTGCACTAGATGGTAGACAGCAGGCTCCTTGAGAAAATCAACAGTGTGTCTCATGTCCGGACCTTACCCCTTCTCCCAGAGGGCCTAGAACATGGCCCAGCACTTAATAAACATTTGGTTTATTTCTTCCATTTGGCTTCATAAAGCAGAAGAAAATATTGCCTGAAATTAATATCAACTTGTTCAAATTCCTGACTCACTGTTTTCGAATCTCCAGAGGAAGTATTTACTTCAACACCTCCCTCCACACACATACAGAAATCCAAGAACCCTAGGAATTCTCCCATGCTACAAATATCTCCATTTTTGTACAAAACCAAGTTAATTGCCTAGAAATACTCAGGGAGGTCGTATCAAATCTTTGGATAACAGCGGTTTACAAAACATCTTTAGGTGTGGGGAGCACCAATGTTTATTGTAACAGATTCTTTACACAATTTGTCTCCATGCTCATACAGCTCCCTGAGGTGCTATAATTATGCCCATTTTACAGATGAGGAAATCACGCAAGAACAAGTGTGAAGTGGCTTGAAAGTCAAGGTCATACCTTATCCAATGGCGGAGCTGAGTCCTTGAAGTCTGAGTCTAGTTGTGTGCTTTCTGTTACACCCCAACCGAAGCTGTAGAAAGACGACATGGCCTCAAGCAATTACTTATCTTTTTTAGTCCTCACTTTTCCCATATGTAAAATAGGGAGGAAACTATCACCAACATCACCCACTTGTTGCAGATCACAGAAGTTTGCTACAAATCAACTGCTTGGACCCACACTGGGCACAGAGTAAGCGCTGTTATTACCAAACAGCCTTTTAACACAGAAACCCAAATTGGTAATCATTATGTCATGGCCCCCGCCGTTTTCTACAGAAGGGATTTTTGTGTGTTCAGGACAGTTAGGAATTTCTGCATGTTCATGGGAGATTCGTCCCTGATGAGGATGGGGAAACGGGAAGTACACTGCATGTGTCACATGTCTCCTAGAACGACCTGTCTTGTATAGCCCATTAAAAGGGACTTTCAACACTTATGATATCCAACACCTATTTCCATTATTTATTTATTATATTTATTATTCTGACTCCTAAAAGCATGTTCCCAGCATCGAGACCATGAAAACCCACATGGTGAAGCCCCAGCATTGCCGACTTTTCAATCAGGTTTCACCTCTGGGGCTGCGGGGTGCGGGGGGGGGCAGTCACAGAATGGAATATGTCTTAATGATTCCATTATGACACCACTCTCCATTTTACTGAGAAAGAAACTGAGGCACAGAAAGGGGAAGGGGCTTGTTTTCTCAAGCTATCCCCTCATAGGCTCTGGGAAATAGAGATCGCCCTCCTTATTTTACGTTTCTTCCTGCTATGCGATGCACACCCAAAGCTGCAGCCTTTGCCAACCACATGTGAACCCCAATGTCCTCTCCTTGCCCCTATGCCTATCTGCTTTGCACATGCACCATCCTTCAGCAAGGACTACTTCTCTCCGTATCATCTACCAGGCTATTTCCAGCTTGTCCATCCCACTCAGCTCAAGTGTCCATTAGGTCTCAGATGGACTCTGGCGACAGACTCAGCTAGTCTCCCTGCTTCCACTCACCTTCTTGCAGATCAGCTTCATTTTTTTTTTAAGATTTTATTTATTTATTTGACAGAGAGAGACATAGCGAGAGCAGGAACACAAGCAGGGGGAGTGGGAGAGGGAGAAGCAGGCCTCCCACGGAGCAGGGAGCCCAATGTGGGGCTCGATCCCAGGACCCTGGGATCATGACCTGAGCCGAAGGCAGATGCTTAATGACTGAGCCACCCAGGGGCCCCGATCAGCTTCATCTTTTAACGTAAATCACACCATGACGCTCTCTTGCTTAAAAGCCTCCAATGGCTTCCTGACACCTTTAAGATAAAACCCAAACTTGTTGCTCTGCTTCTAGTGCCCTGCAGAATCTGGCCCTGCCTACTTCTCATCTCACATCCTGCCATCCCCCCTGCACTGTGTTCTGCCCACACTGACCTTTCTTCTGCTCCCTAAACACTCATATTCTTGCTGGGAGCTACCCCCTCTTCCTCGTGCTGAAACTCTTGCCCTCAGATACTCACAGAAATAATTCCTTATCCTTCACATCTCAAGCTATTTTCACTACCTCAGAGTCTTCCCATTACCACATAATTATTCTGCTTCCCATGCCCTGAGTATTTCTCTAATAACATTTCCAAGTGTCTAGAATTATTGTTTGTGTATTCAGTCTCTTCCACTGGATGCTCTATTCTATTATGGAAAGAACAGAATCTTGTTTGCCAATAATCTTTAGAGCCTATCACAGCGCCTGGCACAGAGTTGGTGCTCAATAAATATTTCCTAAGTGGATAAGCGAATCAACATCCAATCCTGCAGGGCAACTCCTCAAGGCCAGTGTTTTCAAAAGCTATATGATGGCAATTAAAAGGTATGTCAGTTCTCCTCCACTTTTCTGCTTTCTACTGTCTGTCAGCTGGGATTTCCCATGGGAATCCCAAAATATTGATCTCATCATATAGGTTTCATGCATTGCTTTTCTCCAAGTGATTCATCATTCTACCCATTCGTTCTTGAGTGAATGTCTTACCCGCCCCCACCTAGGAGAAGACTTCTCATCCTCACTTTCCAGCTTTATCCTCTGCTTTCTACCAGAGGTGTAAGAAACCCCACTCCCTGTCTCTTCTTATACCCCTGATAGATGTTTTGCCCACCCAGTGTTGCCTAGAAACTCCTTGTACTTTTACTTCCCCACCAATCACCACCAATCAGATGAGGCACAGGGTCAGCAGTAAGAATGAAGCCACGATTATATCTATAAAGAAAACACATGGGTTAGGTTTTGAGAGCCAGGCATTAACCCCCACTCTTCCACTCACTTGGCATGACACCTTGAAAATGCATCTTAACTTCTCAGGATTTCAGTTTTCTTATCTCTAAAATAGAATGCGGTCACCATGAGAATTCTCCTCTCAAATCTCCCACCACAAGGAGTGTAATTGACTGAGGGCCCCAGTCACGATGTCTGAAATCTTTCACCTCACTGGCACCATCAGCCAAAGTCTGAGAGCAGCAAGGCCACTCCTGGAAGAGGAAGGTGCATTTCTGGGAGAAGTGGGACTCCACAGACCAGTGACTTCGACCCAAAGACTCTCCATGAGCTTTGCTGAAACTTTCTTTGAACTGCACTTCCATTGAATACTTCTTTTTTTTTTTTTTAAAGATTTTATTTATTCATTTGAGACACAGAGATACAGAGATAGAGAGCGAGAGAGCATGAGCAGGGAGAGAGGCAGAGGGAGAGGGAGAAGCAGGCTCCCCGTTGAGCAGGGAGCCCGATGTGAGGCTCGATCCCAGGATGCTGGGATCATGACCTGAGCCGAAGGCAGACGCTTAACCATCTGAGCCACCCAGGCTCCCCCCACTGAA